AAGAAATAATTATTTTAGCATAAATTTGTGTGATTAGTTTAGTAACTTGACTCCATAGCTGCGTATCTGCTTGGCATAATATCAAACCGAAACATTTGTTGATTTTACACCAATATTTTATATCCTTGATGCCGAAATCGCGAATCATTATTTATTGTATTTAGCTTTCATCACTACATGTTTATCAATGGATGACAACTTGAGTGATGACTCATGCAGCGACGCCAAATATCAGAGTATTATCTGATTACAGATTTAAGTTTAATGCGCTAAAATGTTGATAAGGGGAAATTTAACAGAAATTTCTTTCTTTATGCTAAAAATAGATTTTGTTAATGATACTCATAGGACAAACGATTATATTTAGTGCTATTTGAATTAAGAATAACTGATTTGTTATTTGCATAAAGCCTGAACCAGCGTCAGAGCTCGCATGGCCACACCAGGCGGCAGAATTTAGGGAAGTTAAACAGAAGTTTTTCATTGCGATGACAATGCCCCAATCATCAATCAATTAACGGATGGCGAAATCTGTAGTATGGTTCTAAATCCAGAAAATACAGCTACCGATAGTGAAGAAAGTAATAGAGAAGTTACTGAAAGAGAAAAAATTTTGATTGACAAGTTATTCGGAATTCTCGACACAGCAATTACAGGACTTGAACAATGGAACTTAATAACTGAACAAGAAATTATATGTCTACAGTATTAGTCTAAAGTATTAGCAGAGAAAACAAATCAAACAACTTACACTGAAAGAAATGTTTAATAAAATAAACATATAAATATTAAGCTCTTTTCTTTTGTAAATTTTGATACCCTTTAAATCATAAATGCTTCATTATTTCATAAATCACGATTTCATATTTTCAATTTTATAATTTCTACGTGCCATCTTAGTAGATTGAAAATTATCTAATATCCAGAAAAACCTCAAATCTGGGATCGCCGAAATCCCAACAAGTCTGGACCTTGGACTTTGTACTGTATAAATATATATATACAGTCAAAAGTCGTTAATTCGGACACCCATAATCCGGAATGATCTATAATCCGGACCTCAAAGCTAAAATCTTTCTGCGCATGCGCCGCATTGACGCATGCGCATAGGCGTTTTACTCATGCGCACAAGACATTTACGACTGCGCATATGCGTCTGCGCAAGTGCAGAATACGTTTTCGCATGCGCGTTTAATATATAACGGACGGTATAAGCTAAAATTATCTAATTATCTATTTCAGTTAATGTTGATGATTGCGTTGTTCCTTAATCTTCAAACTGGATCCGGCTTATTATTTTTCGCAGACTGTAAGAGCAATTTTCTAAAAGTAAGCTTGAACTTTCGATTATGTCAAATAGAATTTCCGATGCTGGAGCTCCCAAAGGATCTAGAAAACAAAAGTATGTTTTGATGTCCATCAAACAAAAAACGAATTGCTACAAAAAATGGATAAAGGCATATTCTTTGTTTATCTAACCGTTCCAAAATCTGTTTATCAATTTCACGCTGCTCTGCGCGGGGGGGGGGGGGACGTCGCGGCGCGCAATGAACTGGAAGTTGATTTGTCAACATTTTCGTTATCTTCAGGGCAGATGTTTTTATTTTATTCAGCTTATAATTCCTTACTAAATGTAGTATTTAATTTCGATGTACTCCGTCTTTGATATGATTTAAATCAAATTCCTCGTCATTATAATATCAGAATACAAATCAAATAGTTTTCTGGTTGCAATTTTCTAATTTCGGCTATGCGTAAGGTATGCTTTACGCATCCGCACGTTTAAAGAAATGTTTAATAAAGTAAACAAATAAATATTAGGCTTATTTTGGTAAATTTGATACCCTTTAGATCATAATTGCTCATTATTTATAAATTATGGTTTCATATTTTTAATTTATTTCTGCATGCCATTTTACCAGATTTAAACTGATGATCTATAATCTGGAATCGCCGAAGTCCCGACGAGTCTGGATTAAAGACTTTTGACTGTATATATAATATGGAAAATATATATTTTCAGTTAAACTTCTACCCAATAACTTTAGTAATTCATGAAAGTTAATTTTGCGTCTAGTTAATTCAGGAAAATTAGTTTCAATTAGTTGTTTTCAGTTTTAAAAATATTAAAAAATTTTTAATTAGTTAGTTGTTTTCAACTAATAATTGTATCACCATTAGCAAAAATAATGGGTAAAATCCTAGTACACGGTGCAGCCTTGGCACGATTTTGAAAATTATTGCTAACACCAAAATGACCCGTTTAACTATTCATTGTATACATATGTCCCGTTTACTGCTCATCATAAAGTCGCCAAAAGTAGCTAAATCCCTTGTGCACCGGAAACTAGGATTAAACCAAATAAGGCATTACTATCAACAGCACTTTTTTTTCTTTTAAATCGCTAACACTTTGTATATGTCTCGTTGCTGCTCATCATAAAGTCGCCAAATCTCTTGTGCATAGGATTAAACCAAATACTTAATTGTCTATTGAAGCTTCAAAACGTATTTCCGAAGAATTTGCCCTTGGGGACCCTAAACTTGAAATGGAGCCAACAGATTTCCCGCAAAATTGATAACAGACCCTCTGCAGAAATAAACTCAGAATCCTGATATCCCATACATATATGTGCAAAAGACAATAAACTCTGTAGAAGGTAATCAAAAATTAATTTATGGCTTAAATCAAACAAACACAGAAGTTAAGCTAAACAAAACCATGTAAAACAAATTGAAATGATAAAATGAAACTTACTTTTCATGTGAATTTTGAGCACTGACTCTCCCATTCTAGAAATATCAAATTTGTTTGAGACAAAGACCACATTTAGCTTTTATAAGGAATTATCATCCATCAATATCCAGTCTTTCTAGTCAGTCTTGATGAAGACACAGTTTATTGAAAATGCAACTTTCCAGGCATCTCATTCCTATTGGCGTGTTGGAGTGGTTGTGGCCTTCCAGATTACGATTGTTCTAATTTTGGCAAATATTTTCAGAATCCCCCCACTCTTTTTTTTTCGAGCACCTTCATCATCACTTTTCGCCTCTTAAAGAACTTCTGGCCTTCACGCTTTCGTCACAATCTGCCTAAATTTATGGATAACACCTGTTTCAAAAGATTGGGTGAATAGCCAATCAGACACCTGATACTTTCGTTCTAGGCTAGACTAATTTTTTTTTATCGTTTGCAACGCCAACAGATTGGTTAAGAACCGTGTAATTTTATTTCCATATTCATGAGAAATCACAATTCACACTTAGAATGGCAATCATTAGAAATGATAAGAAATGTCAAATGAGCAAAATTAAGGACCGTTTATTCATTTTGACCAAAAGTAAGGACTTTTAAGGACCAAAAATCATTTTTGAAAATTTTAAGGACTTTTAAGGACCGTACGAACACTGTTTAGAAGATGAACCCAAAATGAACTACTACTGCTTAGTAGTTGCATCCAAATGGACACTAGTAGGTCACATGATATATGAAAAACACACACACATTAAAAAGCAGCCATCCTGTTCAGCCAGAGATGGACTGAAAATTAAAAAGGGGCGGATCTGGAATAATGTATCCAGGCTTTCCTCTTTTTTCAATAAAGAAAAGAATTAAAATTTTAATTTTTCTCTTAAAACAACAGCTTTCAGTTCATTTTTTTACTTTGCATATAATATATAATATACAGAACTACAGAAGGGATTTATATTATTTCATTGAATGTAAATTATTATTATTTTCCAGTTAAAAAATATACTTATTTAAGTCAATGTATATAATAACTTTATTTTATATTTCACAAAAACTTTTAAGTTTCTAGAACAGCTATTTAGCTGCAGTATGCAATATAAAACCAAGGATACCATGACGATTATTTGATCAAAGTTTATTTTATCTAAATTTTATTTCATGTTTTTAAAAAAAATTTTACAGCAGTTTTTATGTGATATAACTAAGGTTTACAAAATTTATATCTGCAATATAAAAAGTTGTATGTCCTTTTATTTCTTACAAGCACAATTTTTAGCTCTTAATGACAGTGACATGGAGATATGTACTTTCTGATTATCCATGACCCCAAAAAAGGCATTAACTCATTGATAACTTTGTAAAGGGATAATTTTTTTTTTTTTTTTTTTTTTTTTTTTTTTTTTTTTTTTGTCTACCTTTTTGACTCTTAGGTACAATTTTTATCATAGGTAAAAATAAAAAGAAGCATTTTGTGAAAAACAAGAAGTTTTATGAGGGGGGAAAATCTATATGGCTCAAATTAACATTTTTAGAGTTATCAGACCAAAAAAAAAGGGGGGGGATCAGCAAAAGGTCAGTTTCAAATGAAGTGTGAGAATCCACATGCTCTTAAATGTGCATGTTGTATACACATGAATGTTCAGCTATTGTCATGCTTTTAGCATATTTAAAAACATGCTAAAAACATGGCAATTCTACTGAATGTTGAAATTTGGGTTTGAGTACAATCAGAAAGTAGTAAATGATTTATATTATTATTTCACTGGAAAAACTATAGAAAAAACCATACTTGTTCTGTGCATCTATATCTGTACTGCAATTTGATGTAATTAGAACAGCCCATTTATTTAATTACATCAAATTACAGTACAGATATAGATGCAACCATTAATAAAACCCAATTTTCTCCAGTAAATAGATTTCATTTATACATAATACCTTTCCCTCTATTATCATGCACAGCAATAAAGATTTTAATAAAAATATTTTCAATAAAAAGTCCATGCAATCTGAATTAAGTTATATAAATCAAAACTAAAAGTATATTCAAAACAAAATTAACAATCGATAAACATAAAAAAATGCAAAGCATCTTGAAAAATATAAATGGAATATTTTGCACAAAATAAAACATTCAAAAATTTTAATAATCAAAAGGAAAGATTTTCTTGTCTTTTAAATTCTGAATAATTTTACACTTCAAAATCTGCAAGGAAAAATATATGAAAAACAAAATCAGTAATATTACCTGAACCTCCAGCAGAAATAACTTCAGTATCAGGACCAAAAGCAGCTCTTGCAACTTCTTTCACTTTGCCAGCATGTGAACGAGATACGATTATTGTGAATGGTTTATGATCAGTAAGGGTTAATTTTGATTTGGATGAACCTTTTCCTGCCCATCCCCAAACTAAAATATTAAAAATACAAATAATAAATAAGATTCAAAGCATTTTAATAAAAGCATTGAAGACACGGACATTCTTTATACGAACTCTACTATCTAGTTACAGGTATTGAAGAAATTAAATTTAAAATTCTACTATTCAGTTAAAAAAAGTTATTGCTTTCAGTAATACGTTATAAAGGCATATAGGATAAATATTTCTTTATTTTCAAAAATATATTTTTTTGGATTAACACTTCTTAATATGAAGTAGACATCATATTATGATTGTGCTACAAGAAAAGCACACAGCATGAGAGGGAAAGATGCTTAAATATTTCATATTTTTATGTACAAAAATCAACATCTGTATAGTCATCCATCCCAAATAGTATCATAATGCATAATAAATAAGATTATTGCTTCAAAATACTTATTCTGCAACAGCAAAATTAAGATGAGATAGTAGAATTGATTAAGAAAAAGAGGTTGGCACAAGGAATATTTAGTTTGAAAGAAAAAAATAGTATGCCAATAAGTTAATCAAAAATTCTCTAATCTTAAAAAGATAGCATAGAAGAGAACAATATAATAGCATTAAAAATAATGGTATACGAAAGGCGACAACCATTTTCAAAATGGTGGCATGCCAAAAATCCCATGCAAGAGCAGTCAATCAGTAAAATTCAAAATGCAAGGGACATTAATAATAAAACACTTTTTTTTACAAATCCTTCTTTTTTGTGTTGTCGTTATCCGATATACACAACAAATTTGTTTTTGTTTTAAAAAAATTGGCGAACTGAACAAACTTGGCAGTATGCAACTTCAGCATTTTGCACAGGCTAAAACATGCACGTGCTACATACATACCTGCGTTGTCACATAAATACTTTTTTGAGACATTATGGATTGCCATATAATGTATTTTGGTGACATACTGCTTTACCTCATGAGAACTTTTCTGCGACTTTTTGAGTGCAGATAATCAGAAAGTACCAAAGTTATACTAAATGATTTTTTACATTTTGTCATTTATAAAATTAAACATATTCAGTTCATCAACTCTAATTATTTCAATATTTTTAAAAAGAAATTCTGACTTGAATACACCTGTCAGACATTTTGAAAGTTCTAAATAACTCAATATCTAAATATTTAATCTTATAATTATTGCACTCCCTCATTCTCTTTATAAAATCCATTTAATATCAATTCAAATAGAAATAAAATTTTTGGGCAGTGCATAGTTGTTAATGCTCATTTTACCAGTTTGTTAATCAAAAATAATACACACATGAGAAACTGCAGAATCAGCAAGTAATGCATAGCATAAGTTAGAAAATTAAATACCTGTTTTATTCTGAAATGGCTGATGAATTACTCCAATAATTGGTTTTCCCTTAACAGCAACACAAACCATTGTAGTAACATAATCTAAAAGATTTTCTAGTACGTAAAAAAAGATTATAAAATCAGTATAACAAAGACTCAATACATATAAATGTTTTATGCATTCATAATAGTCAAAAACTGAAAATTTTTCATATTAAAAATTTGTTACATAATATTAGTAAATATAGTTGAATCCCATTACAGTGAACTCAGAATTACGAAATGCCCAGCCGCGGTACGACAGGTTCTCCACAAGGAAGGTTTTAGGTTGACAGAAAATGCCAAGGGAAGGCAGGATTGCCATATTTGGCATGAAATCACCCATTTGACGACAAAATTGGCAATATGCCATAGATGGATGGAGAACCTTCTAGAACGAATTCTTACTGGTTTGGCACAGAATGTTCTCAAAGGCAGGCGAAAGCTATACAAACCATGCTGGTACCCAGAGTAAACAGTGTCTCATAATCTATGAAGTCGATCGCAAGTTTATCGAGTTGATCGGCAGTCTAGTGTCAAGTGTTCTGAGAGTTGGTGCATCGAGAGTGTGCATTATTGGGGCTATCATCAAATGCATCGCGAGTTGTAGTGTGGAGAGTCTCGAGAATATGTTGAGTAGTCGGGAGCTGTCCTCTAGTGAAGCTGTTTTCACCCTTATAACCTGAAAGCTGTGTTGTTGATTGTTTCAGCGTGTTCATCGTAGTTTTTCGACGATTGAAAAAGTGTTTTTGAAACTTTCCCAAGTGATACTGGCTAATAAATTGTGTTTTCATTCTTCACCAAGTGTTGTCCTCAGTCATTCCAAATCCATGAATAATTATTTCTTGTATCCTTATTTTCACTGTAAGGTTTTAGAAAGATTCAATGTTTGGAAAGAGTCTTAGTTATTTCATTGACCTTGATATTAAGGAACTGATTTCTTTATTTTAACCATCCCTGTTGGGTTTGTGCTATATTATGCACACCACTCTACTATATCACCCCATACATCATTATACTCAAATTATAACTAATTCACTTGCTAAGATAAATCAGTACTCATTTTCACAGCTTTTATATTTAACCAAAACAAGTTACAAGGATGCATGCGCCCGCGTGCAGGTACGAGCAGAACTACCCTACTCACCGAGATATAGATAAATACAAATACAGTTTCATTGCAGTTAAAGTTACAGTTTTAGGTAATGCAGGAATAATGCAGTTAAATACACAAAATAAATATGAGTTTTAAAGACCAGTTACAGTTAAACCACCACAATATTCCACCTTAACCTTTCGAGGTCGGGGCTTTGGTAGCAGTAAAAGCTACCAAAGGACGGGGAATCTTGAACCGAATGCTCTCCCCCTTTAAGAAATCACCTCCAATTTGCAACAAAGATTCTTGTGTGTAGTTTAATGGATTCTCAGAGGGGTGCATCTATGTCGCATTATTCATGGATTTGGAATGACTGAGGACAACACTTGGTGATTTGAAAGAGATAAGTGGTTAAAATCCTAAGGACATAAAATTTGATATTTCACCCCACTTTTCAGCCTGGAAAATGGGGGGAAAAAGACTTTTCCACTAAAGTGGACAACACCGTCTTTTCAAAGAGAGAACTCTATGGCCACTATAATGGCCATCCCGTCTTCAAAAGGTTAAGTACTGCAGGAATTGACACATCATACATAGCAATGATTAAACCTCACTACTGTTGAAAAAGTTGTTCTATTTGAAGGCACAACTGGTTCTGCACTTGATGATTCCACTAAGCTAGTGGTAGGGATTCGTGAACTATCACTAATAACCAGTGACAGTTCACCAACAGTGCTGTTGGTGAACTGTCACTATGAATAACGGGAGTTGTTGGTAAACAATTACTAGAAATAACTGGAGTTGGTGATACATCGTACTGAGTAGTGAAGGCTGTCTTCAAACTGTCAATTCCAATAACAGATTCTGTTTTATTTATTAGATTCATGAAGTGTTTAACAATCTCTTTGCAATGTTACAGAGACCATTGTATGGTTGTGTCAAGAGTGCTTTTACTGAGTCACAGCACACAAAAAATTGAGCAGAAAGACTTTAAGCAGGAGCGCACAGAACAAAAAGGTTTAATACATGCAGAAGCTGCAGATAATTCCCACATGGAATGCTGGAAGAAAACTGCATTAGAGAGTTGTAAGAATTTTCCTGGCGAGGAAAATGTTGGCCTGTAGAGCATTTCAGAACAAGTACCACCAACGTTCTTTTTGAAACTAAGCAGACTCCAAGAAGGCCAATAAGTAGTTTCTCTCCATCGTTGTGTTATGATGTCACTTTAAAGTTTGCTTAAGGGTTCACAGAAATCAATCAACCAGTCCATTGCTAGATGGGTGATATGGGAAAGTTTCAATGCCGCAAATTCCTAAAAATCTTGTTGAGTGAAGAAATTAAATGAGACTCGAATTGTTGTCCTAGGTTTGTAGTTATAATTTTTGGGACTCGGAATCTTGCAATTAAGTGTGTAACCAAATGTGCAAATGACAATTTTGCCCGCAATATCCTGCACATGTATCACTTCAAGCCAACAAGAAAACAATTTATAAAGATGACCCGGTACATATATCTCTTAGATGAAGGCAGGGGTCCTAGGACGCCGAGATAAACATGGTCAAATCTTTGAGAAGCAACATGAAATGGTTGTAGACAGCTACAAATATGCTGATGTATTTTCAATTTCTAACAGTCTATGGATGACTGTGACCAATTCAATACATCTCTTAACATCCCTGGCCACACAAATCATTCTTGAAGAAGTTAACAGAAAGCTCTGGATGGGATAAACAACACAGGTCTCTAAAGGTTCAATAGTGCAGCTTCTCTTGAATGTATGGTTGAACTTTTCAGTGCTAACCTCTCAGCAAAGTTTTATATTAGGGCACATTTACAAAAGTTGGAACTGAAGTGATGGCTTGGCAAAGTAGGTGAGATAACTGGGTATCATCAGTTTGCTCCTCAGCCATAGTGAAAATATCAGATAAAGCAAGTAGATTTCATTCTTCTGGGATAAAGTGTCAGCAACAATATTATTGAATCCAGTAACATGTCTGATATCTACACTGAATTATAATATATAGTTGAGCTGTCTCAGCTGCCTAAGGAAACCTGAATCAACTTTTTTTAAAAACCGAGGGTCAAAGGTTTATGGTCAATATGTACTGTAAAATGCCTGCCCTGCAAACTATGGCAAAAGTGTTTTATAGCCCAATCAATTACTAAAAGCTCATTGTTGTGTGTGCTGTACTTTTGCTCTGTTAATCTTTACCATTTAATAGAGTGGTAGTAGAAATGTCAAAAGCAATGGCCATCAGGGATAGATATTGATGAGGAGCATGGTAAGCCAGAGTTGCCAAATTCATAGTGATGTTTACATGCTTTGAATGCTAATGTCAAAGGATCATCCCATAGAAACATTGAATTATCCCTTGAAATGAAACAACAATAGAAATTAAACATCATCACATCATAAATTGTAATTTTTTTTTTTTTTTTTTTTTTTTTTTTTTTTTTTTTTTTTTTTTTTTTTTTTTTTTTTTCAGGTTCTGGAAATTCAGCTATTGTTTACGTTCTTCCGGGAAGTAGTTTTACCCCAGAAGGTGTTATATGGCATCTCAGAAAGGCTACATAAGATTTTCTTAGAACATGTTTAGCTGGCTTTAGTTTCAATCCATACTGTGAATAAAATATCATCCAAATAGGGTATACTAAAATCTAAAACCTGATGAAGCCACCTAAACACCTGATGTTGATACCTCTGATAAGTAGTTCACTCTGTATTACAGAGGCCAAATGGTATAAACAGAAATTCATATAATGCTGTTGTTACAGTAGTTTTTTTCAGTGTTGGTTGGCTTAATAGGGATCAGGTGATACACAGGAGCTACTACTGTTGCAAATACTCTTTTCCCATAAAATACTTAGTCTTGGATATGGGGAAAAGGAACAGTGATGGTATTCAAGCGATGATAATCACTGCAGAGATGCTTTAACCATATGCTCAAGCACTCTTTCACAAATGCACCGTATCTAGAGATCAGTATCTTTGACGAATGCACAGTATCTATATCAAGAGATACTCAAATTCCTGGTGAGCAGCTCCAAGGAACTCAGACAAGAGCTGATGTGGTTTAGAAAATACTAGACGCCCTTTGGTCTTAGTATTTTCTAAACCACATCAGTAAGAAGTGTAAGTGTGGTAAAAGCCAGTAAGATACATTCGTTCTTGGGTATATATGAAGGATTATCAAGTTCTGAATATTCAATCAAGATTTTATCAAACTTAGAAGGACTTAGAAGAATGCTTAAGGTATTTCTACCTTGCAGAATATGAGCAACCTTCCTCTGTGAAGAAAGCATGGTCTCAGCATCAACTAATAAATTAAGCTTCTTTAGAAAACCAATGCCTATGATAGTTTGGCTAACTTTGGTGATTCTGAAAGACCAAGTGAACTAGCTCCAAAAATTTAAGCCAAGAGGCAGATATCAATTACCAAAGGTTTTGAGATTTTTGTTCCATTTGTGGCATAAATACCAATCCCTCATTCACAAAAGACTGTTTGGTAAGATTAGCCGGAAGTATGAATATGTCTGCTACCATGTCAATCAAAAATTGCAATTTAGATGAAGTGTTAGCTATAAGAATGCAACTAACATGGTAGTTGTGATTATGGCCCAAACGTGATTGCCAAACTGTTTTCCCTGGAGCCAGAAAGAGCATGAGAGAGTACAGTACAAAGTCTGTAATCCGGACGTCCATAATCCAGAATGATCTATAATCCGGACCTAAAAGCTACAAACTTTATGCGCATGCGTAAACGCATAATGCATTTACGCATGTGCGTTTAATGTATAACAGACGGTATAAGATAGGCTAAAATTATCTAAGGCATTTCAGTTAATGTTACAGATTGCGTTGTTCCTTAATCTTCTAATTGGATATGGCTTATTATTTTTTGCAGACTGTTAGAACAATTTTTTAAAAATTATGCTTGAACTTTTGATTATGTCAAAAAGAGTTTCCGATTCTGGAGCTGCCAAAGGATCTACAAAGCGAAAGCATGTTTCGATGTCCATTAAACAAAAAGTGGAATTGCTGCAAAAAATGTACAAAGGCCTATCTGTCTCAAAATTATGCGAGAAGTATGGCATTGGAAATTCCACTATATATGACACAAGAAAAAGGAACTTTTTGAATTTTTTGTGGAAGCATCTTAAACAACTTACATTGAAAGAAATGTTTAATAAAGTAAACAAATAAATATTAAGCTTTTTTTGGTAAATTTTGATACCCTTTAGATCATAATTGGTCTTTATTTCATAAATTACGATTTCATATTTTTAATTCTATAATTTCTGCATGTCATCTTACCAGATTTAAATTGATGATCTGGAAAAACCCCTAATATCCAAAATCGCAGAAGTCCCGTCGAGTCCAGATTACGGGCTTTGTACTGTATATTTTTTAGCGATCAGGACCAAAATTCATATGACAAATAAACAGACTGTTTTCCAACTCTTTATAGTGTTTCCTGGAATGACTACAATTGCACTCCTTCCCCTTTTTTAAAAAATTTATTCTTTCTTGAGCAGCTACAAAGATGCACTGTTGCACTCAGTTCATATACCTGCTCAGTGAGCTGTGCAGTACGTCCTTCCATTCGTGAATTTTGAGGGGCTGTGCACTGCATACTGTATTGATTTGAGAAGACATAGACAGATCATGAATTTTGTTTGCCACAACAGTCAATTGTCACAATTCTTCACTGAATGCCCCTATGATACTGCATGTGATAGTAGAAAGAAGTGTGAGCCAGAAAGATTTGAGGAATGCTCTCCCTACAGTATTGCCCATGAGATTACACATATGCTCAAGTAAATGGAAGAATGAGAGTCATTCAGTTCTGTGCTAATTCTGTCAATTCAGCTCTGTACAACACCTTTACATAACAACAGTCTTCACTCTCTGAACAAGATTAGATAAGATGTTTCTTTAAAGTTTGATACAGCTTATTATCAGGGGAATTGACAATAATATCACTTATGGATGTGCGAATATTGGCATCAACTGCTGCCGCAACATGTTCTAATCTAAGAAACCATGGACTGGTTTTTTACGAAATCAGTAATTTAAACCCTACATGCATGATCTGATTTTCAACATCAAAAGTGAATACACAAAACAAAATGCAATATAATTATTAAAAAATAATACATAATGTTGCCCTAAATATGCATCTTTAATGAGCAAAACCAGAGCATTCATAACCGAAATAGTAAATAGCGAGTTGTAATATATTAGGTTTGAAATATACAGTCAAAAGTCGTTAATCCGGACGGCCATAATCTGGAATGATCTATGATCCGGACCTCAAAACTACAAACTTTCTGCGCATGCATCAACTCATAATGCGTTCACGCATGCGCGTAATAACTTTACGAATGCGCATATGCGTGTATGCATGTGCATAATACATTTACGCATGTGCGTTTAATGTATAATGGACGGCATAAGCTAAGCTAAAATTATCTAATTATCTATTTCAGTTAATTTTGCGGATTGCATTGTTCCTTAAACTTCGAATTGGATCTGGCTTATTACTTTTTTGCAGACTGTTAGAGCAGTTTTATAAAAGTAAACTTGAACTTTCGATTATGTCAAATAGAATTTCCGATGCTGGAGCTGCCAAAGGATCTGCAAAGCGAAAGCATGTTTCGATGTCCATCAAACAAAAAGTGGAATTGCTGCAAAAAATGGATAAAGGCATATCCTTTGTTTCTCTAACCATTCCGAAATCTGTTTATCAATTTCACGCTGCTTTGCGGGGGAGGGGAACGTCACTGCGCGCAATGAATTGGAAGTTGATCTCACAGCGCTATCCTTATCTTCAGGGCAGATGTTTTTATTTTATTTGGCTTATAATTCATTACTAAATGTAGTATTTCATCTCGATGTACTCTGTCTTTGATATGATTTAAATCAAATTCATTATAATATCATGAATACACATCAAATAGTTTTCTGGTTGAAATTTTCTAATTTCGACTATGCGCAATGTATGCTTTACGCATGCGCGCGTTGAAAGAAATGTTTAATAGAGTAAGCAAATAAATATTAAGCTTTTTTTTTTTTGTAAATTTTGATACCCTTTAGATCATAATTGTTCTTTATTTCATAAATTATGGTTTCATATTTTTAATTTTATAATTTCTGCATGCCATCTTACCAGATTTAAAATGATGATCTATAATCCGGAAAAATCGATAATCCAGAATCGTCGAAGTCCCGACAAGTCCGGATTAAAGACTTCTGGCTGTATTAGGCAAAAATACACTTTAGTGAAAATGCAGAAATGTTTATAAGAAAGTTTCAAAAAAAAATTGCTTGCTGACCATAATAAGAGGGCAAAATATGCTAACACATCTGAGGCACATGATGATGTACATTCCAAGCAAATTTTCCGTGCACACACCTGTGGTAGAGTAGCCATCAAAATCACAAATGTATTTGAAAATTTCTGTGGCTTTTATCGATTTTGTATCAATGTTGTTGATTTTATGCTTGTAATTAATACACTGATGACATATCCTTTGGATGCACTAGAATGCTTAAAATGGATGATGTGTGCTCAAATTATCACTTATCAGCCATTACTACGCTATACTAGGTACAGAACTCTAGTGTACTAGATCACCACACACACCTTTATACTAGAAGAGAACTAATTCGTTTCGAAAATAAATCATTCTTAGTTATCTTCACAACATGTATATTTCACAAAAACAATTTTCAAGGATGCATGCATTTGCACGCGAGTGAATTAAACTACTCACTGAGATAAGATACAGTTACAGTTATGTAAATGGTCTTTTCACAGTTAAAGTTACTATTATAGGTATAAGAAATTAATGCATTTAAATAAACAGAAAGTAAACAAGAGTTCAAAAGTCCAGTTATGGTTAAACTGCCACAGATCCTTGGAACTGAAACAGAACTTGAGTCCCAAGAAAGACAGAAAATTCTATACCAGTAGACTTAATATAGACTTAATAAAGATAATTTGAATACACACAAAAACTATTAATGGTGATATTAATATCTGTAGTTGACCGGGTGAAGCACTATCTTCTAAAAGTGACAGAACTCCTTATACTGTTAGAAGAAGAGAAATCGGGGTTGTAAAAGATGATGAAAAGTTATGATGATGACATACAGTGAAGAAGATCCGAGGAACACCACATGATCAAACAAAATGTACTTCTGCAATTTTATTTCTTCCTTCCTTATGGGATGAAACAGCACAAACTGAGAGAGAGAATAAAATATCACCAGACATTTTAAATTACCATTATTTTATGTTTATTATACATGCAAATTATATTTTATTTGTAGTTCAGTAAGTAATTTTAGTACTTCTATGTCACAGTGGCCACTGTGAAGAAAAATTGCCAAGAACAAAATGCACATCGTAGGAAAACCAAGTAGAAAACTTACAAAAATAATGTTATGGTAAGAAGCCAAAAATAACAAAATTACTAATACATTTGTTTCTTGCACATATCTTCCCGATTGGCTTATTTGTTGCATACAGTTTTGGTGGCTATACATCTATAATCGCTATTAATTTCTTCAAAAGCCTTTTCCTTTCCTTAATACTGACACCATATCAATTCTGCTAGGTATATCTCAAGATGATGCTAAGCTGTACCTTGCTGTCTTTCATTCTGCCATTTTGTGGAGTACCATAAAGCCTTCACATTTTGGAAGTAAAATATGTTTTCAGTTTGAATGCGATAAACAAAATGTCTTTTTTAAAAGAAAAGTTTTTTTCTTTTTCACTTGCAAAAGTAAGTTGGTTTTCAGTCATCCATTAATTTCTATGATTTTCTTTCAAGGTAACCTCTGCAATATACAACTACCCTATTTTTTGCTTATCATATAGATTTCTTTTCACATTTTACACATTAAAAGTATTTAACAAATGAATTTATAACAAAATATTATTAATTAGTAAATAACTGATTAGCTTATAATCTGTCAGATTCTGTAACACTTAGCACTTTCAATACCTCATGTCTACTCAGTCTGTATTATGCTGAGTTTGAAGAGTTCTGTAGTATATGCACTTCCAGGATTTTGCAACTGATTACCATACTCACATGTACTTAACATTTTTCACCAAAATTATTAGAAAGCCAGACTGCCCAAGGTAATTTATAAAGAGGAGTTTTACAACACAGGATATTTGTACAAAGTGAAAAATCTTCTTAAAAAATTTAGCAAAGAAATGCATTATGGTTTCAAATTTGAGTTTTACTTTCATTTACCTCCAAAGAAATCACAGGGGAAAAAAATTACCAGTGTATTCTTGAGTAGCATCCAGAGGATCAATCCAAACAAGTATATCTTTGGTTGGTATTAGAACATCTGTATCAAAATTATCTACAGGACTCCAAGTGGAAATTGGAGGTCCAATTTCATGAGGCTCAATTTTATTATCATGTTCCTCTGAAACAATCTGAAAATTAGACAAATAATGAGTTACAGTTCCTTATATAGAAACTTAAAGGGTTCTTCAGGATTTTTCTGCATGATTACAAACAGAAAAGTCTTGAAGAAAGTCTTCGGTTAAATGAACTGGTCACTTTTCTAAGAAACATATCATTTCCCCCATCTAAAGTACTAAAGCCGACACATGGCTATGCGCAGTAAAATCCTAATGACGGCTACATGTTAATTGAAGATTTCATTTACACATTAATTGAAGATTTCACTTTCACATACCCAAAGAGTTTCTTTGTTCATCATAAAATAACTTCACATAAATCTTCAACAGTCAAACTTCTGTTATACTGATTTCAATAAGAAATATGATATACTTGGAGAAAAAGAAGTAAGCAATTTAAATATATAAATTATCTTATGCTTGCTTTAAATATTATTATTATAGACATATAATGCCATCTATTAAGCAAAACAGAACAAAAAGAAAAATTAATTTATGGACTAAATAAGGTACACAAACATAAATGGCTAATGCAGTTTTAAATCATTAACTAGCAAAATTGGCATTTTTTTTAAATGTGAAACTTCAAATATATTCAATTCAACAACATTTTTCTTGAATAATTTTCGTAGAGAGAAAACAAATTAAAGAATCCTCAAATGATCAGAATACTTATTAATTTCTATTACCCCAGATTGTGTAGTAGATTTAACTGCTACCATTTGAGAGGAAAAAAATTAAATGACCTTCCCCAGGGCAAAACTACATAAGTCAAAGAAACTGTCATTCACTCTGAAGTACACCAGAGATTTCTTGCACAAATGTTGCCCAAACATGGGGGGGGGGAGCCACGAATGCTACAAATATCAGCAATTCAGATCCAAGTGTTCAGAATCCACCTGCCAAGATCACAACTTCTCTTGCCGAGTCCTACTGATGCAAATTGAACAGAGGGCCACCATATAACAGTGACATACCATTACTTCAATGATAAAGCAGGGATATCTGTTAGCAAATACAGTCAAAAGTTGTTAATTCGGACACCCATAATCCGGACCTCAAAGCTAAAAACTTTCTGCGCATGCGCCGCGTTGACACATGCGCATAGGCGTTTACGCGTGCGCGTAAGACCTCTTACGACTGCGCATTTGCGTGTGCCCAAGCACAGAATACGTTTTCGCGTGCGCGTTTTATGTATAACGAACGGTATAAGCTAAAATTATCTAATTCAGTTAATGTTGATGATTGCGTTGTTCCTTAATTTTTGAATTGGATCCAGCTTATTATTTTTTGCAGACTGTAAGAGCAATACTATAAAAATAAACTTGAACTTTCGATTATGTCAAATAGAATTTCCGAATCTGGAGCTCCCAAAGGATCGTACAAAACGAAAGTATGTTTCGATGTCCATCAAACAAAAAAGTGGAATTGCTGGAAAAAATGGATAAAGACATGATGAATGTGACAGAGAGGTTAGTGAAAACGAAAAAATTTCGATTGACAAGTTAGTCGGTATTCTCGGCACAGCAATTAACGGGACTTGAACAGCGGAACTTTGTAACTGAACAAAAAATTATGTCTGTTTATAGAATTAAAGAGAAAGTATTATCACATAAAACGAAAGCAACTTAAACAACTTACATTGAAAGAAATGTTTAATAAAGTAAACAAATAAATATTAAGCTTTTTTTTTTTTTGTAAATTTTGATACACTTTAGATCATAATTGTTCTTTATTTCATAAATTACAGTTTCATATTTTTAATTTTAGAATTTCTGCATGCCATCTTACGCGATTTAAACTGATGATCTATAATACGGAAAAATCGATAATCCGGAATCGCCGAACTCCCGACGAGTCCGGATTAACGACTTTTGACTGTACACTAATCAACATTTTAACAACATAGTGGTCATGGTAGTCAAAGATTAAATTAAGTGATATTAAAGATACTGGTAATTTGAATTAAATACCCCAGATTACAGTAGTAAACCTCATGAACTCCAAGAGACCAAAAAATCATGTTAAAAAAAAATTGCATTAACTGAGAACTCAAATTTTGTTTTTGGAACAGTTTTTTTTTTCTATACATTAATCACTTACAGTATATAGGTACATGCAAACTACAGTATACACCGTGTTTCAAAAAGAATATACGCATTACAAAGTGTTATAATGTGTGTGTATGAAAATACTGTGATTGCAGGTTCTAGTGTGGTTGTTGAAACTGATGAAAGTAAGCCTAGAAAGCAAAAATATTGTTGTGTGCCTACAGGCTCATAATAGATTGAATGCATACAATTCCGATGATAGGTTGCTAAAATTTATTTTATCAAAAGAAACACTTCAGAGTTCTAAAGTTCAGTTTCCACAAAAAGTGGTTGGTTCACAGTATCACAGAGTACAATTAGTAGGTACACTTCAAACTACTTGCTTGTCGATTTCGCTCCAAATTCGGTGGCGAAAATTAGTTGACAAAACTATTGCCAGCTTAGCAGTATCTTGCCAAATTAACATGGTAGCCATTTATTCAGTGTTAAATAGACTTGCCACTGTATTCTTATTTTTACGGCAGAGCATCATCTCTCTAGATTTTCATGTTACATTATACCGAAAAATACAGCAATTTCATATAGCACTAAAATCATCTATCTATGTACAAAATTAGTAACGATATAACCATAGTAAAGAAACGGATAGAAGTTCTTTATGTGGCGCACTAAAAATGGTTTGACTCATTTTTACCCCTAAAGTGTTTAAAGAAAGAATGAAAAAAACTGTTCTTGAAGTTATTAAGTGATATATAAAGCAGGGTTCTGTAATTGTTTTCAAGGTGAAGGGCTCGTACAACTTTCAGTCAGTCATTGTATGACTTTTGAGAACTGTGTTTCAGTTAAAGATTTGTGGAGCTACATTAAAAGATCTGAAATGAATTAAAGAAATGAATGATCAGGACTACCATTCATTTGCCCTACAGTTTACCAAGAGCTGTACATAGAGTTCCTTCTTTACAATATGCTAACAAGATAGCAAGGCTTACAACATCGTTTAAATAACAGTGGTCGTAATATTAGAGAAATAACTTCTGCTCTTAATAGAGTTCTGTTTCCTTTATTTTATTTTTGCCATACCTGACATATCTTCAAAATACAAAGTTGCCTGTTTTGTTTTCACTAAAAAAAAAAAAAAAAAAGAAGAGTAACTAAGATCATGGGAAATGTGATAAAAAATGAGGTCAGAAAAAGTTAATCTCCCAATATTTTAGAAGTAAACTGAAAAACAAAACAATAAGATGGATGATCACTTTTAACCTAAATCCAGACATTACAGCAATTTTCTTTGATGTGCATTAGATTGTCCAGGAGTTCCTGTGGTAACAAAATTTATTAAAGATGAGTAACACCTTGAAGCTGCAGTGATGCAAGTTACCATCCTAATGCATTCCATACATGTTCTATCAAATTGAAATCTTAGTATGTGGGGCCCTATCTGCTGGATTGCTTTTCTCTCAAGATAATGCACTGGTGGATCATAATGGGCATGAGAATCATCGTTTATTGTTAGAAGATTATTGCCAATTTTATATATAAACAGTGGGCCATAAAGATCAAGAACTTCATTTCTCAACATTCCAGCTTTCATAGTTAGTTGCATTGGTAAAAATGTGCAGGTCAGAGTGGCCATTCAGGATGGTGCCTACTCATACTATGATTTCATATCCTTTGTGCTGATGCATTACTACTGCAAACAAGCAACAAGCACATTTTACAGCTTGAGTTTAAGAGATATAGAACATGAATTTTTTTCATATAGTCTTCTTTAATGCAATTTATCACTCTTAATTCATTTGGC